CCTTTCCCCTTCATTCTTTTCACTCCTTGACAGCACACTACTCTATTCTCTCAAGTTTCTCCAACTTTGAACCTTCCAAAGCTTCAAGAACGTGAGTACTTCATTCTCTAACTTGAAATCCATGAAAGACCACCTTATCTAAGCCTTATGGGTGCAAAATCGACATGACCTTCGTGTTTGGAAGTGAGTGCGGCCGCACACCCTCTTAGGGTGGCCGCACACCCTTAAAACACCCTCCAAAGTGAGAGTTTGACTTCCATATTCGAGATAGACATGCCCCTAGCCTTGTTGCACCTTGGAATGGACAATTTGGGCATCATTTTGTGGGGTGTACGACCACACACACCTGTGTACGGCCGCACACACCCCTTGTGTGACCACACACTCAAGTGTGCGACCACACACCCTAGTGTGCGACCACACACTCATCATAGGGCCGCAAACCCACTTCTAAGACCCCTATCTTGCACTACAATTGAGTATAGACCTAGAACACTTCGTAGATGTGAGCATGGACCTTGAGAACACTTCGAAGGCACCTCATTTCATGAGTATACGGCCGCACACCCATTGGGCCGCACACCCATTGCCGCACACACACTCAAGGTGGCCATACACCCTTTATACTCAATCCTACAAGGTCCTATCACTCGGTGCGCATAGTCTCAAGTATCTAGAGTGAATTCCAATGGTATCTAGTAGTGAAAAACCTTCATTGACTCCTATGTGTGTGGCATTACATGTATTAGGATCAAGTTGAGTTCGAGGTTTCACTAGACACTCAACATCTCGTGCCGGACTTTCGTGAAAACCACTCGCTCAAGGTGAGTTCATACCCCTACCCTCTTACTGGTTTTTAAAACGTTTTCAGGGGGAGAATACAAGCCAAACATAAATGCTTTTGTTAAATAATACAAATATTTTTTAACAAGTATAAAACTCATGCAATTCTCGTACTTTAACCATTTTGTACTATGTTGAGCATAAGGGACGTTTTCACCAAAATTGCATAGTTTTCCGAGCTCGATATTCACTACGCTATACATACAAACTATAATCGGTATAGTTTGGGATATTCAAAACATAACAAGTACAAAAACTTTCACTACTAAACATATACACTATGATAGAAATAGCTTGCGTTACTACGTGAACTTAGCAGTCATCACTGTAATTATCACTACATTCGGATCCCATTACGGTAAAACGCTACAACACTACATGTAAGCTAGATTGTACGATACTGTGAGGCGCTACTTCAATATTGTACCCTTAGGTGTATAGGGATAAATCCTATTATAGTATAACCAGAGTCTCCTGGAGGGAGAGCGTGAGATTTGTGAATAGATCTATTCGGGACTGACAATCCCACACCCGACCTGCTAGCTACAGTTGGGCAGGCATGCCTAGGGTGACAAATGTCATTTAACTCGACGCCTGAAGAACGTTGGAAAGGTCTCTAGTCATATCAAGCATGGTTATACGACTCACATTATGTATAAATCACCTTTAGTTTACAACCTGACACTCTTCAACAGTTTTATTTATACTAAATAGAACTAACACACACTACGTATAATGGCTGAGGCCAGGGTTTTCAAACAAAAATCAATTATGCAAGGATTTCATATACAATATACTTATACTTCATGATTAGCCTTAGCTAGTCACATGAAGTAGTATTTTCACATATCACTACAGTTTTTAGTAACGAACATTCATGGTTTATACGGAACTGATAACGCTACATTCTCACTAAAGAAAATATCGGATTTTCTTGAAACGATACAAACACTTCTACAAGCTCACCAATAAGTTTTCATTACAAACTACTGCTTATGAACTCACTAGCTTTATGCTGATATTTTCAAACTGCTTGTATTCTCAGGAAATCAGTAGACAGGTACCTGCTGGATTTTTGAGGAGTTGGAGCAATAAGAGTTTATGTTTATACTCATACAAACTATATGATGTAATTCAAACAAGTTTCAGACAATTTCCAAATTGATGTAAACATTTTTATTTGAGTATTCATTGTAATGGTTGCGTTGCTATTATTGCTATTATACATTGGTTGTGATGCTATACATGACGTCCTCCACCCTCGAACGTTTCCGCCATTCTGGTTTCGGGGTGTGACACATTTATATAGTGCACCAATGATACTCTGGATAACCCTAGTCTGAATATAATAATATTATCTCAAATTTGATAATTATCCACCACCTTAATTATTCATATGAGATATTATAGAAACTCTAGAATTATCCCATAAAACCACCCACCTCCTTTAGGAAGGTTCGACTGTTGAATAATTTCACTTTAGCCCCTGCATTTTTAATTAATTCTTTTAATCCCAAAATTAATTCTAATTATTTCCGATTAAATATTAATTAAATATTGCTACTTCTAATTAATATATTATTCTCATAATATACTAAAAATTATTTATTTCAATTTATCAGTCAAATAATAAATTCAACATTTCTCTCCAAAAGTCATCATGTCTAGTTGCTAGTTTTGAGGTCAACCCAAAAGGACTGTGCTACTATTAATTCAAGTATATATCAATTATATTTATGAGATTAGACACCTAATCCAACACAAGTGACGCTTAAAACAAAAACCGATATGAAAATCTTGAAAATGAAAGCAGACGACTTCGACGACGAAGATTTGGAGCTTTTTCTCACGATAAAAGAATCGGTTCGATCCCGACGTAGAAATATGGGTAGTTTATTTTAGTTATGTTTGGTATTTTTAGGTTTTTTATTTTTAATGTTATTTTTTTAATTAATGTAATTTTTATTTTTAATGTAATTTTTATTTTTTTATTTTTTTTAATTCATGTAGTTTTTATTTAATGTAATTTGGTATTTAAATTTAATAAAAAACTAGTATTTAAAAAAAATGATTTTTATGTATTTTTTATTTAAAATTAATTAAAAAAATAAGGTGGAATGATGTGTTTAGTGGTAGACGACTCATATGTTTAGTGGTGTAGTGGTGATGATGTGACACCACCATTATAATCGTTAGCGGTGGGTATAACGGATAGTCTAATACCACTCATCTTTCAAAAATGTCCCCCATTATCATATCAACAATTATTTTATCTATTTAATTTAATATGTTTATAATTATATATATTTTAAATAAATATTAGTTATTAATATTTGTTAATTAGATAATAATTATAATTAAAACTAAGTTGATACGCTAAACATAAATTAAATCAAATAACGGTAAATTAATTACATAAAGCTTAATATATATATATATATATATATATATATATATATATATATATATATATATATATATATTATAATATTGAAAATAGTTTAAATAAATAAAATATTGAAAGGAAAAGTATTGTTTAATATTAAAAAACACTTTGCAAACCTTTCTAAATCCGCAAGAAGGAAGCTTAGTAGACATACAAAACTCAAAACTTGGCATTGCAAAAGTGATTGAAAGATGTCAATGTAGATGCCCTTAGAGCAACCACATCGGTGGTGGTTCTTTGCAAAACACATAAATTAGATATTATTATTTTATTATAAAGGTAATTTATCAATTGGTTTTTAATATCTAGATATGAATATTTGATTAAAATATTATTAGATCACTTTGCAAAGCTTTCAAGTATTGAAAGACATAGTCATATGTGGCATGAAATAATAGCCTACATATCCTTGCAAATGGTTTGCAAGCCGGTCTTAGTGAGGATGTAATTTATATTGAATAAATAATAACAAATCAAAAAATCGTCACATCAATTAAACATTATATGTTGTATTAAAGATGGGGATAATGAGGGTACATATTATTGGGATTGTACACATTTAGTCCCTGACTTTTTTTTGTCCATATTGTTCCCTTTATATTGTTGTTGTGTGTAAATTAAATCATTATTACCGGTTGATGCCATATTTGCTGACATGGTTGCATATGTGGACAATCATTAAAAGAAAATACTCCTCTGTGGATCCTCTCTGAGTTCCATCGATTATAATACGATACCTAGCCCTAAATTCAATCAAAAAAACTTTCGAACCCATACCCAAAATCGGAGAAGAAGATGTCGTAAGGTTCATCTGGTTCCATCGTAAAGAAGGAGAAACTTTGTGATTGTCGACTCCCAGTTCGAATATGCACATCCAAGACTAAAGACAAACCTAACAAAAAGTTCAAATTTTCCCCAATTCTCTGGTATGTCGATCTTGATTCCCCTCTGTACATTTGATTTTCCTTATAATAAATAAAGATATTGAGTTTCTTACCATCTTTATATTTGATTTCGAAGAAACCATGTAAGAAGTGTAAGTATTGGGAATGGATTGATGAACCTGTGACTGAGAATCCAGATTTAGAACAATAACTTGAAGCAGTTAAAGAGGATGTTGCATATTTGAAAAAAGAGGTTCAAGAGTTAAAGAATAAAGCACATAGTTATAGGGTTGAAATCAGTTGTAATATTATCTGGAAACAGTTGAATGGAGTTTGGTATGATGTATGAATTTTGGTAGTTTGAATGTATTGAATGGTTTATATTGAATGTTGGGTTGCTATTGAATGAAATGGTACATGGTATACATTTGAATGTAATTTACATTGAATTTGACTGCAATTTCAATAACCAAAAGACAAAGACATTGATAGAAACAAATATGATTCCCATTAGACAATTGACATATGATTCCCATTATAACAAGATTCTTAATAAACTAATGCATTAGTACCAATAAAGATTAAAAAAGACAAAACACAATTTACATAGGATACCATTCCATTACTAAAAGGCCATCAAAAGTTTCTAGGTTACAAGCAAGGGTAGTATTGTCAATTACATCAAAAGTTGGCCCAATTCTCAAAAGAAAGTCACCATACATAGTGTACTATTACATACTTCCAAAGCAAAAGAAAACAAGTAACCCTAATCATTCTAAAGTAACTGGGTTGTCCTCAGTCACTCCTTTGTCATCCTTTCGAAAAACCTACTTCCTAATTTGTATCTTGTTGATTCTCTCTAAAGGTTTCCTTGCTCTAACACCAAGGCTCGTAGGCACTCTAACACCAAGATTCACAGGCACTTGGTTAACAGGTATTGGATTCACAGGATCTTGGTTGACTGGTACTTGATTCACATGTTCTTGATTCACAGGGACATTCTCTTGAATCACATGCTCTTGATTTACATGTTCTTGAGTCATAGGATATTGATTCACATGTGTAGGAGTACTTTGGAGTTGGATTGCTTGGACCTGCTTGTGAAGGACAGTTTTTTGCATTACTCTTCTTTCTTGCTTTACTTGGACCTGCTTCTGAAGGACCCCTCATTGGACATGTAGCATTGTTGTGTCTAATTTCATTACAAATTGTACATTTGTGTTGAACACATGCCCTGCTTATAGTATGTCTTGTATTCCCACTTATTTCATTTTATGCTTGGTCTCTTTTTTTTTCACACATGGCCTACCAGGTAACCTTCTCCTAATAGGAGATAGTATCTGGTGAACATTAGGCATGTGGGGCCACAAGGTACTATCATTTAGGGGATGTATGGTGTAATCATAGGCCCTAAGAAATTCAAATTTAGTAAACCACTTTGTAACATATTCCTCTGAATCAAGATTCAAAGAAGATATGGCACACATGGCATGTACACAAGGAATTACTGTCAATCTGCCATTACAAAAAAGTTAGTTAGCACTTGCATGTACGGAAAGTAAGTAAAACATATATGGTCACTAACCTTCTCAACTTCTTTAGTTCACCAAGCTTCTTTCTGATAGTTGGACAGATTGCCAAATTCTAGCCCATTCCTTTCCCTTTCTGCATGTACAATCTCTCCATCACAAACACCCTTATGTCCTCTAACATATTGTCACACCCCCAAACCAGAACGACGGAAACATTCGGGGGCGGAAGACGTCGTGTACAGTATCATAACAATGCACAATAGTAAAACAAGCAACAACATCATTCATTGCATTAATAAAATAGTTTAATACAAGCGTGTTCTGTGAAAAGTTTGAAAGACACCAAAATATGTAATCAAAATAAAGACGAGTCTTGAACATGCTCCGTCTTCTCAAAACCTGGTCATCTGTACCTGTCTACTGGTGACCTGAGAATACAAGTTATTTTGAAAGAGTAGATCGGCATTTAAGCTGGTGAGTTCATAAATATTTTAGTGTCAAAAGTTTGCATTAGTTTGATGAAAATGTTTGTAAGTGTTTTGATGTAAATGTTTGTATACTTCCTAGAAAATCCTATATTTTCTACTAAAATGGAAAGTAGTCTTCTACCAAGACCCGACTGCTTTGTAAGTTTGTTCTCTCGTAAAAAATGAATGTTTTCCCAAGTTTATGACTGTCTTTACTAGAAAATAGTTTGCATTACTTTTATGTGAGAATATCACTATATGAATGTAATGGGAAAAATTAAGACGTAAAGTAGTATTGTATAAAATAACTACTGAAGTACTAACTACCTTAAAATCAATAAGTTAAATTAAGGTAAAATGTGATGAGGTTATAACCATGCTTGATTGACTAGTATAAAACACGACGTTCCAAAGACATCGAAATGGTATGACATTTGTCACCCGTAGACCTGCAGGTCCCACTGTAGCTAGCAGCAAGGTGTAGGATGGTCAATCCCATATAGATCTATACACAAACTCATGCTCTCCCTCCAGGAGACTCTGGTTACAAAATGTGACACAACAAGTATATTGCTATGCCATGAAATAGTGGCTCACATTATTGTTATCTTGTTCTTGTTATAGAATATATGTTCTTTTCTGTTCCTGTTATAGTATGTAAGTTCCTGTATGTTCTAGTTATAGTATGTATGTTCCTTTCTATTCTAGTTATAGTATGTATCTTCCTTTCTGTTCTAGTTATAGTATGTATGTTCTGACTCACGTAAGTTTCACTGATCTAGAAATAGTAAGTAGTAATCCTCTAAACTATACCTATTATAGTTTACTAGTATGATTGTTTGACTGTTACTGATTTGTCGAAAATACTTAATTACTAACCATAAGCAACTAAGTTAAGTATGTATCTTAAAAATGGGTTTAATATTCATATATGTATTTAATAAGTATAACTATGATTTAACCGACATTCGGACTAGTGATCCTACCCCAAGCCCACAACCAAACAAGGAACAGGAATCAGGGTATCTAGCAGTAGTCCTAAGTCTGTTAAAGCATACTTATACGTAAATATATAGACGAATATGATTTGATATAAAAGAAGTTTATAAAAGATTTAAAAGAGTTTTTAACAAGTTTTGAGTATAAGAAATCCTTTTGGATGTTGTTTTCATATGTAAATGGTTAACACAATATCATTGTGTTCTACTTGTATTCCCCCCTTTAAAATCATTTAAAAACATTTAAAAGATTATAGGGGTATGAACTCACCTGTAGTGAGTGATTCGAATGAAAGATCGATATAGGATGCTAAGTATGCCAAGTGATGTCCCGAGCACAAATGGATCCTATTTAGCATATAACAACACATATATGTATGGAATTAGGGCCTATAACAACTAATAAGTATAGGAAACAACCTTAGGAACTAGGAAACACTTTCAACGAAGTGTTAGAATCACAAATGAGTGGTTGAAAGGTGTTCACGGCCACACAAGAAGTGTTCACGGCCAAACTATGAGTGTTCACGGCCCTTGGAGGGTTCACGACCATGAACACTTGAAGTGTTCACGGCCCAAGCTTGATCCTATGAAGGGTTTATGACCAAAGATGGAGGGTTCACGGCCTTGTAATGGTTCACGACCCAAGATCCTAAGAAGGGTTCACGGCCCTATGAAGGGTTCACGGCCGTGAACTCTTGAAGATCTTGCATGGAAGTGTTGTATCAAAGGTGGAATCAAGTGTTTCAAAGGGACAACCAGAGGATGGATGAGATACTTACGTTTTTGAGGCCTTTAGAAGCGATCACAGTTGAAGATAGTTGAGAGAGAAGAGAGATGTTCATGGCTGGAGTTTGAAGAAGTGAAGAGAAAATGGCCAAAACTCATATATATGGCATGAGTTCACGGCCAAGGAAGGGTTCACGACCAAGGATGGGTTCACGGCCGTGAACTCCTTTTTTATGGTGTTTCTGGATCGATTACAACTCAATGATCTCAAGCTAACACTTCCTAACACACAACCCTTGAGTGTACTAGGATTAGAAACTTTCAAACAGACCCTTAACACAGCATAAAGGTAACAGAAACAAGTGTGACTTTTGATCGAATTGATTGACTTTACAAGATAGAAATTTCGGGTTGTCACATCATCCCCCCGTTAAATGGAATTTCGTCCCGAAATTAGAGTTTAAGCAAATACAAATAAACTAAGGGAAAAGATGAGGATATTTCAGTTTCATTTGATCCTCCCGCTCCCAAGTGAATTCAGGTCCCCGCTTGGCATTCCAACGAACCTTCACTATCGGGATACGACTTTACTTCGTTGGCTTGACCTCCTGGTCCATGATTTCTACTGGTTCTTCCACGAAGTTGAGGCTCTCATTGATCTCGATTTCATCGAGTGGGATAACAAGAGTCTCATCGGATAGACACTTTTTCAGGTTCGATACGTGGAAGGTACGGTGTACGTTACTAAGTTCTTGAGGTAGTTTGAGTTTGTAAGCTACAGGGCCGATCCTAGTGATAATCTCAAAAAGCCTTATGTACCTTGGATTTAGCTTCCCACGCTTTCCGAAGCGTATCAAGCCCTTCCAGGGTGAGACCTTCAATAGAACACGATCACCAACCTGGAATTTCAAAGGTTTCTGTCTCTTGTCAGCGTAGCTTTTCTGTCGGTCTCTAGAGGCTTTCAATCGTTCACGAATCTGAACAATCTTGTCTGTCGTTTCCCGAATGATTTCTGGACCAGTGAGAGTGCTGTCAGGAACTCGTCCTTTAACTAACTGCGTGTCACCCACCTCAGCCCAACACAGAGGGGATATGCACTTCCGGCCATAGAAGGCTTCAAATGGAGCTGCCTTTATGCTTGTGTGATAAATGTTATTGTAGGAGAACTCGAAAAGGGGTAAATGAGTATCCCATGCTTTTCCAAAGTCTATCATACAGGCTCGCAACATATCTTCCAGAGTTTGAATAGTCCTCTCACTTTGTCCGTCGGTTTGCGGATGATAAGTTGTGCGTATATCCAGCCTAGTTCCCAGGGAACTTTGTAGCAACTGCCAGAACCATGAAGTGAATCTACTGTCTCTATCATAGATAATAGATATGGGAACACCATGCAGTCGTACAATCTCCTTGATGTAAGTTCTTGTCAGTTTCTCCATCTTGTCGGTTTCTTTGATTGGCAGGAAGTGTGTGGACTTGGTTAACCTGTCTACGATCACCCATATGGTATCGAGACCACCCGTTGTCTTCGGGAATTTGGTTATGAAGTCCATCGTGATCCGCTCCCACTTCCACTTAGGTATTTCCGGTTGTTGAAGTAAACCTGAGGGTTTCTGGTATTCGACCTTAACCTTGGCGCAAGTAAGACACTTACTCACGAAGGTAGCAATATATGCTTTCATGTTAGGCCAACAATATAACTTTTTGAGATCCAGATACATCTTATATGAACCTGGGTGAACGGAATATCGAGTATTGTGCGCTTCGGTCATGACGACGTCTCTAAAACCACCGAGCTTCGGTGTCCAGATCCGATCCATGAGGTACAAGGCTCTGTTACCCTTGACTTCTGAGTTCTTATCCATTCCTCTAAGGGATTCACCCGCCACATTTTTAGGCTTCAAGGCTTCCTGTTGAGCCTCCTTAATTTGTGTGGACAGATGTGAATGGATCGTCATAGTCAATGATTTGACTCTACGACCAGAGTATTCTTTCCGACTTAGGGCGTCAGCTACTATGTTGGCTTTACCGGGATGATAACGAATTTCGCATTCGTAGTCATTGAGTAGCTCGACCCACCGTCGTTGTCTCATGTTGAGCTCCTTCTGGTCGAATATGTGTTGAAGGCTTTTGTGGTCTGTAAAGATAGTGCTTTTCGTACCATACAGGTAGTGTCTCCAGATCTTCAGAGCAAATACCACTGCTCCTAACTCAAGATCATGTGTGGTGTATTTGACTTCGTGTGTCTTAAGCTGTCTTGAGGCATAGGCGACGACATTTGCTCATTGTGTAAGAAGACAGCCAATCCCTTGGTTGGATGCATCGCAGTAAACCACGAAGTCTTCTATCCCTTCTGGGAGGGATAATATTGGTGCGTTGCATAAGGCTCGCTTCAGCG